GAGAGGAAATCACTGCCTCTTTCCCACCAGCCATTCTTTTTTTTTTTTTTTCCTGGAGACAGAGTCCCACTCTGTCGCCTAGGCTAGACTGCAGTGGCATGATCTTGGCTCACTGCAACCTCCACCTTCTGGGTTCAAGCAATTCTCCTGCCTCAGCTTCCCGAGTAGCTGGGACTATAGGTGCACACCGCCACGTCTGGCTCATTTTGTGTATTTTAGTAGAGACAGGGTTTCACTGTATTGCCCAGGCCCAGTCTCAAACTCCTGAGCTCAGGCAATCTGCCCACCTCTCGGCCTCCCAAATCCCACCAGCCATTCTGACAAAGGAGACACGGCATGTGACGCTGAGCACAGGCCATGGATGAGCCAGACATAAGCTATCTTGTTTAATTTTCATTAATGATAATAACAGCTAACATTAATTGAGCACCTACTGTGTTCCAGGCACTGTGCTAGGTGCTAGTTGCCTTATATATACTAACTCAGTCATTGCAAACAATGTGATGAGATAGCCAAACTGCGTGGGCTCAGATCTCAGCTATGGCAAGTTACTCTCATTTTACTGATGAGAAACAGACAGGAACTTCCTCAGTTTGGCTCCAGGGCTTCTACTTGGCACCGCGGCTGCCTTGCCTGTGTTCCTAATGTACAGAAAGTGACACACACAGGTCTGCCACATGGAAAGTGCTCAGTGAGCAAAGCTCCTGCCTTCAGAGAACACGCTCTGAGTCCTACTTTGTGTCAAACACTGGAGTGGACACCAGGGGTACTAACCAGAGAAGCCTACAGTCCCTGGCCTCAGGGGCCCATAGTCTAGAGAGTCTAGAGAGAGGAGCAGGGATGAAAACGAGTGAATTAAATACAGGAAGAAACAAAGTTGGGCATGGTGGAAGGTGCCTGCAGTCCCAGCTACACAGGAGGCTGAGGTGGGAGGATCACCCGAGCCCATGAGTTTGAGACCAGCATGGGCAATATAGTAAGACTGTGTCTTTTTTTTTTTTTTTTTTTGAGATGGAGTCTTGCTCTGTTGCCCAGGCTGCAGTGCAGTGGTGCCATCTCGGCTCACTGCAACCTCTGCCTCCTGGGTTTAAGTGACTCTCGTGCCTCAGCCTCCTGAGTAGCTGGGATTACAGGTACATGCCACCACACCCAGCTAATTATTATATTTTTAGTAGAGATGGGTTTTCACCATGTTGGCCAGGCTGGTCTTGAATTCCTGACCTCAGGCTCCCAAAGTGCTGGGATTACAGGCGTGAGCCACCACGCCCAGCCTCCTATCTCTTAAAAAAAAAATTTTATATATATATGTAGATAGATAGAGAGAGAGAGAGAGAGAGAGAGAGTGAAGTACACAAGAAGCCTATGCGAGATCCAGGGGTGGCACAGCCGTCCATCCCATCCAGTTAGGTCTCCAAGAACCCCTGCTGCCCACCAGAGTCTTGTCAAGGAAGGCTTCCAGAAAGAGGCAATGGCTGGGCTGCTTGGTACAATCTCTATTTTACTGATAAGGAAACTGGTTAAGAGAAGACTGGGGATTTGTCCAGACACAGAACCAGGATTCAAAAACCTAGGCAGGTCTCTTGAAGTACAGAGCCCTTGGCCAATGCAGGACTCGGCGCTGCCTCTGGTCTGAGGAAGGAGGCACAGGCCTGTCCTTGGGGAGCTCTTAGTCTCTTACGACTGTGGACGTGTTCTGTCTCCAATGGGATGCCAGGCAGTCATCCCTCCCACACACATGCACATACTCTTCACCTTCAAAGATTCAGGGACACACACACACACACATCAGGAGACACTGGACCACATACAGAGCAACCACCTCCGAAAGAAACTGTAGACACAGACTTCTTCTCACTTTTCAAGGCCCCACCCCACTCAGATATCCTTCCCCGATGAGACCTTCCCCAAATCCCTGGGGCATCGAGTAGACTCCTCCTCTGGTCTCCCAAGTCCTTGCATATTGTCATCACAGCACTTCCAACTCTGGGCGCATGTGGGTCTATGGATCTATGACTATATGAGCTTTGGGAACAGGGATCCATTTTATTTACATTTGTATCCCCAGCACCTGGCACAGTACCTGGCGTTTTGTAATGCTCCCTAAGAGTTTGCCGAATTAATATGTGAATAGGAAAGTGAACAGACAAAGGAACAAGGACCAGTTTTCTAAATGCTCTCCCACGGAGGAAGGCAGCTCAAGGAACGACAGGGCAACACAGACCAGCGTGTGACGGGGCTGAGGGCCCAGAGAAAAAGTGTGTGTCCTCAGACCCTCAGCCCAGTGAGCTGGGCAGCAGGGCGGGCTTAGGAGGAGGGAAGGGTTGGAAAGGACACAACACGAGGCCAGGGCAGGGAGCAGGCTCAGGCAACCAGCAAAGGTGAAACAGAGCACTCAGGAGCCTGGGTGAGCAAGGCCCAGCAAGGAGGGCAGTCAGCATGGGTGTGGAAGCGGGGCTGGCAGAGCACAAAGGCCAGGCCAGACCACTTGGGCAGCAGAGAAGCTGACGAGAGGAAGAACTTTCCACAGAAAGGTTTTTCAGAATGAGGCAGGCCTCCCCAGGTGGGTGACAGGGGAGGAGGCAGGATTCATCCCTAAGATTTAAGAATTTCATAAACAACTGGAGACCAATCTAAGACACTAGTATTTAAACAAATGCCGCCAGGTGCAGTGGCTCACGCTGATAATCCCAGCACTTTGGGAGGCCGAGGCAGGTGGATCACCTGAGGTCAGGAGTTCGAGACAACCCTGGCCAATATGGTGAAACCCCGTCTCTACTAAAAATACACAAATTAGCTGGGCATTGTGGTGGGCGCTTGTAATCCGAGCTACTCAGGAGGCTGAGGCAGGAGAATCGTTTGAAACCAGGAGGCAGAGGTTGCAGTGAGCCAAGATGGCGCCACTGCACTCCAGCCTGGGCGACAAGAGCGAAACTCTGTCTCAAAAAAAAAAAAAAAAAAAATGCCGACTCATGCTGCCAAAACGTGAAACTTACAAGGTTTTCCCAGAGGCACCCGCTGCCTGAAGGTGAACCATTGAAGTTCACGTGCGCCCACCTGCCTCTAACCTGTTTCCCCCTTTTGCTCTCTCTCTGTCTCCCTTCCACCCAGGCCAGAGCCATGGCCCACCCACCCCTCCAACCACCCCAAAGACAGAGCTGCAGTCGGGCAAGGCAGACCCGAAGCGGGACGGGCGCTCCATGGGGGAGGGCGGGAAGCCTCACATCGATTTCGGCAACGTGGACATCGGTGAGATCAGCCACGAGGTAATGTCCAACATGGAGACCTTTGATGTGGCTGAGTTGGACCAGTACCTGCCGCCCAATGGGCACCCAGGCCACGTGGGCAGCTACTCAGCAGCTGGCTATGGGCTGGGCAGCGCCCTGGCTGTGGCCAGTGGACACTCCGCCTGGATCTCCAAGCCACCAGGCGTGGCTCTGCCCACGGTCTCACCACCTGGTGTGGATGCCAAAGCCCAGGTGAAGACAGAGACCGCGGGGCCCCAGGGGCCCCCGCACTACACCGACCAGCCATCCACCTCACAGATCGCCTACACCTCCCTCAGCCTGCCCCACTACGGCTCAGCCTTCCCCTCCATCTCCCGCCCCCAGTTTGACTACTCTGACCATCAGCCCTCAGGACCCTATTACGGCCATTCGAGCCAGGCCTCTGGCCTCTACTCGGCTTTCTCCTATATGGGGCCCTCACAGCGGCCCCTCTACACGGCCATCTCTGACCCCAGCCCCTCAGGGCCCCAGTCCCACAGCCCCACACACTGGGAGCAGCCAGTATATACGACACTGTCCCGACCCTAAAGGGGGCCCTGTCGCCACCACCCCCCGCCCAGCCCCTGCCCCCAGCCTCTGTGCCCTGTTCCTCGCCCACCTCAGGCCTGGCGGTGGCAGTGGAGGAGGCTGAGGAGGCTGAAGAGGCTGACGGGTCAGGGGGCTTTCTGTCTGGCTCACTGCCCTGATGACCCGCCCGCCCCATCCAGGCTCCAGCAGCAAAGCCCCAGGCGAACAGGCTGGACAGAGGAGAAGGAGGTTGACTGTTGCTCCCACACTGAAAGATGAGGGGCTGCACCTTCCCCCAGGAATGACCCTCTATCCCAGGACCTGAGAAGGACCTGCTCACCCTCCTCGGGGAGGGGAAGCACCAGGGTTGGTGGCATCGGAGGCCTTACCACTCCTATGACTCCTGTTTCCTCTCTCACAGAGTGTGAAGGTCTGACATGCCCATGCCACCTGTGCCACAGTGCCTTAGGGCTAGGCCACCCAGAGACTGTGTCCGGAGCTGGCCGTGTCTCCCACTCAGGGGCTGAGAGTAGCTTTGAGGAGCCTCATGGGGAGTGGGGGGTTCGAGGGACTTAGTGGAGTTCTCATCCCTTCAATGTCCCCTCCCCTTCCGAAGGCAGGAAGGAGTTGGCACAGAGGCCCCCAGATCCAATTTTGTGCCAGTAACCTCATTCTTTGTCTAATCGAGAAAGAGCCCCCAGTCCTCCTCCACTACAACCTCTGTGACCTTGAGGCGCATCCCAGGAGGTGAGGAGGCAGGGGCTCCAGGAAAGGAATCAGAGACAATTCACAGAGCCTTCCTCCCTGGGCTCCTTGCCAGCTCCCTCTTCCCTTACTAGGCTCTACGTCCCCTGCTCTGTCAGCCCCACTCCCTGGGCTTCCCAGAGAGTGACAGCTGCTCAGGCCTGAACCCTTGGCTCCAGGAGACACAGGGCCCAGCACCCAGGTTGCTGGCAGCAGGCTGAAGACACTAGAATCCTGACCTGTACATTCTGCCCTTGCCTCTTGCCCCTTGCCTCCCAGTGGTATTTGAATAAAGTATGTAGCTATATCTGCCCCCCATTTTCCTGTTCTGCAGCCCCCCAAATCCACATGTAACTCATTACTGTCTCCTGTTATTTATCTCAGTAGTACCCTCTCCTAGCCACTCTAGCCCCTATTAACTCTGCATTAAGCATTCCACATAATAAAATTAAAGGTTCCGGTTACCTGCTTGGTGAGCCTGACCTGGCCTGTCTCTTCATCTCTTATCCCTGTACTGGTGCTTCCTCAAATGCTTTCTGGAAGTAGCTAGGAGTAGAATGCAAAGGACAGATCATCAAAGGTCTCTCTCTCCCACCTCCTTCCCTCTTTCCCCACCCCCTTCCCCTTCCCCCTCCTCTCTTCTCCCTCCCCCTCCTCTCTCTCCCCTCTCCACCTCTCCTCTCTCTCTCTCCCCCACTCCCCCTCTCCTCTCTCTCTCTCTCTCTCCCCCTGCTAAGAAAGTGGGAACAACGGAGTCGGTTAGGATAGCTGGCATCCCAGTGGGGTCCATCTGAGCTCAAGGACTGAAGCCTCAGATGGGAGCTTCTCCCCAGCCGGCTGTGCCCCACACTGCAGGGGGGCCACTCACTCTTAACTGGCTCAGCTGGAACTCACTGCCTTGCAAGCAGCCCCTCTGCTCACCCAGCACCCAGCAGAGGGGAGCTGGCAAAGAATTCAAGAGACAGGTATCTGAAGAGGAGAAGGTGGGTTGAGTGTGACACTGTGCTGCCTGCAGTCAGAGGCCTGTCCTTCAGGATGTGTGGATAGGCCCTGTGTTGCTGCATCCCCCTACTTGCCACCTCCCCCAGCACATACACAGCAGCCCATGCCAGGATCTAGCCAAGCCTTCACAGCAGCTGCCCTTGTCCAAGTCTAGACCAAGGATGTCAGACAGTCTACTCCTTAAGCACCTACTCCCTAAGAGCTCTTTCCTCAGCAGAAGTCCAAACTGCACTCAGAGGCCAGGACCACTCCACCTCACAAGCACACAACTGCAAGGACAGGGGAAATCTCTTTGCCATCTTGCTCCACTGATGAACAACTCCGATGGTTGGAAGTTCTTCCTCATACCCAGCTTCTAACAGCTTATATACAGCTGCCATTTACTAAGTGCTCCACTAAGGGTCTTATGTCATTCAGGCCAGTGAAGGGGTAGGTCCAGTCGTTATCTCAATTTTCCAGATGGGGAAACTGAAGTTTGAGAGGTTGATGCTAAGAAGTGCTGGCGCCAGAATCTGAAGCCAGCTCTGACTCCAAGGCTTGCACTTTTAACCATCATCCCCTCTACCTGCCTGTGGTTTGCAGACCCTACTTCTGCTTTGTATCTGGAGCAATGCATCTTCAACTGCTCCAGACTGGGTATCGTCAGCTCCCTTCCTTCCATCTGTGGTCTCCAGCCCCTAGTCAGGACTGGGGCAGAGACAGAGCACCAAGAACTAGCCCAGTCTCCAGGGTGACCAAAATCCCTCCATCTGGGAGCTGCACTATGGAAGCTCTTCAGGCAACCTCCCCAAAACTGCTGGTTCCCGTGAAGCTGGATGGTAACCGAAACCCCTGATCTTTTAGACAATATCCATTGCAAAGTCATATCCAAATTGTATGTATGTCGTTGTTTTGTTTTAGATAAAAGCAGGACTTTACACTGATCTTTAACAGATCTCACCTTGTTGGGTTTGACCCATTTCCCCACCTGTATTAAACCTTTTAGAACTTAGCTCTCCTTTAGAGCTTTATGTATCTGCAAACTTGAATAGCCTCATTCAAGTCACTAATAAAGGTCGAAATGAAGAGGGACACCTGCGTACAGCACTAAATGCCTTTCTCCACCGTCAGTTTCTACATCTCCAATCTTTTTTTTTTTT